CACAAATCGCTCCTCACAATTCGCTCACATCTTCAAACATATTCAGAAGTTTCCTATTATAAACTTAACTGAACAATTTCCCTTTTCTTGGGAACAACATAGTATTCCCTATCTAGGAATAAAACTTACCTCTACGATAGATAAATTTTATGAGTCAAACTATAAAATATTACTTAAATCCATCCCCAAGGAACTTAATAATCTTCTCACATCAACATTATCGAAACTGGGGAGAATAGCAACCTTAAAAATGTATATACTACCCAAACGTTTATATATTTTCCGCACACTCCCTATTCCGATTCCTAACACCTTTTTTACCAAAGTACAAACGATACTTGCCAAATTCCTCTGGAACTCAAAGCGCCCGAGATATGCTACAAACCTCTTAATACGCCCAATATCCAGAGGAGGTTCATGGTCTCCCACACTTGAAGTCAGATTATAATGCCACCCTTTTAGACCAAATTTATTTCTGGTGGAACCCTACTCGGGAAAAAATATAGTCTACTATGGAAACCCTACCACATATCCCGAGCTTAACAAGGGATATACTGTTTACTCCAAGAATATTATCGACCAAAATTATACCCCACCACCCATGCATTCAGGCATCTTTATATGCATGGTATGATCTCTTAAATTACAATTCATCTGAAAACACGTCGGTGCCTACTCCTATTACCATGCTTTACCTCATTATTCCCTCCTTAAACCTGCGTCAGTGGGAAAAATGAAGAATAGCTCATATACAAGACCTATATACGAAAAACATTCTAGATCCCTTCCCCATCTTACAAAGTAAATTCAATCTCCCTGACTCGGAAAATTTCACCTACTTGAGAATAGCACACTCTCTACAGAAAACAACTGTTCCACTTATGTTGAACATCCCTACTTCTGCACATAAATTCTTTAATAAATCTCAATACCTGAGAAGAGGGATATCTATCTTTTACACATACATCACGAATTTTCAATTTTCCTTACAGACAACTTCTCTAAGCAACTGGGAGAAACTTCTCTCACAGCCAATCCCGCCACAAACATGGGAAAAAAACCTTTACCATCACTTATAAAGCTTCCCGATGCAGTTCCCACTGGGAAACGTACTTAAAAATTTTACACCAGTGGTACCTGACACCGGTTAAGCTTTCCCTATTTTATCCTCAACGCTCCCCTGCTTGCTGGAGACAGTGCGGGGACGCAGGGTTAACTCTCCATATCCTCTGGATGCGCAAATCCCTTAGATCAAACTGGAACTCTGTTTTCCAATTAATCTCAACACTAGCTGAAGCCCCAATTACATCCAACCCTGCCCTTGCATTACTCCATGTAGGAATTGATCAATTCCCAAGGGAATCTCGTACTATTATCAGCCACATACTAGCGGCCGCTAAAACAAATATTACAAAACTGTGGAATTCTACCAAAACTCCCTATCTCGCTTTGCTTATAACAGATCTTAACGTCCAATGTGATATGGAGAGAAGATCAGCCCTAAACAATTCCTCCTACCATAAGTTTAAATTTCATTGGGCTAGATGGCTACGAAACCCGAATTGTTCCGTAAAATGCTGATTACTTGAATGTGCGTAACTAGGAATCTCTTGCATTAGACTGGTATGTTGTTTTCCCCCTTCTTTTACCTGTTACCCTGTCCCCCCCAACCTGACCTTTATTCCTATTCCTCTCTCCTTTTTTTCTTTATATACATATATATATATTTTTCACACACAGTTTTGGTTCTTTACCCAACCAGCTCTCATGATAACTTAAACGATGTTACATATGTCCCCAGCCAAATGGTGGGGATTGTATTTTGCATGCGTATTTTCCTAGTCCTGAAACTTGTTGTCTTGAACCGTTCTTTGATAACATGTACTGTTTAAAAATCCTCAATAAATAATATTGAAAATTAAAAATATATTTAAGGATATTTTACAGCATTCATAACTGGATTAAATGAATGTATTTTGTAAGTGAATGAGGAGGACAGAACATTCACATTCAAAAGGATGGCAACATCCTTGTCCTGAGGGTAGACTGGGCATGGACTGCAACCTTGATATTAAAAATACATTTAGAGATATTTAACAGAATATATAACTGGATTAAATAACAATATTTTTTTAAAATAAATTAATGTGTAAATGTCTAGCTGTGTGCTTTTATATAACTGTGTAAATCAACAATGGCATGAGGGCAGAACTACACACACACACAGAAGGATGGCGACACCTTGCTCCCATGGCTAGAATGGGCATGGACTGCAACCTTAATATTGACACCCATGGGATCAAATACACTCTGCATTATATCTATGTGCTTAAAGGGCCTTTTGATGCAATTCTATATGAGAAGAGGTCACAGGAAGGCTTCTAATGCAACAAGAACAAGTTGATTGTGTGCAAAGGTAATAACATAAAAAAGATCAGCATGCTGGTTCACACCTGCCATGAAAAGATCTGTTGTGATCCAACTTCCCATTTAAGGGTGGCTTAATTCATTCTCCAACGTCCTACTGTATATAGGATCGTACTGTAGTCCCCTCCCTTGCCCGCTCTCTAGATGGACTAGGGACTATGGCCTATGGGATTTGTAGTGTGTATAGAGTATGGATCATATTTGGAGAATAGGTATATTGTATATTGACATTTAAAACTCTCAGCCTGGTTCCAGTTGAGGCTAGTGCCATGACCACTGCTTTGGGTTTTGTGTTTTAGGATAGCCCTTTTCTCTTGCAGCATCATATAGAACCATCCATTTCATTCAGGAAATAGAGCTGTGTCTCCCCACAATGTGTGCATCAATAGAGAGACACAGCCCACTAGCCTATTATGAAAAGGCACTGCTTTTTTTCTCCTTCCTACTGTCCACTGTTAAAGCTTTTCTACGAAGACTGGAAGTTCAGGGAAGGAGCACTGAGAGAGCAGCCTTGAAAGTTGCAAACTGCAAGTGATAGGGCAAGCATTTTAACAAATTGTTTCCTGGAGAATGTTTATTTTATTGTGCTCAATGGGGGAGATTTACTAAAACTTATGCACACAGACTCTGGAGCAGCTGTGCATAGTAACCAATCAGCTTCCAAGTTTTATTGTCAAAGCTTAATTGAACAAGCAGATGATAGTAGCTGATTGGTTACCATGCACAGCTGCACCAGATTCTGTGTGCTCCAGTTTTAGTACATCTCCCCCAATTTGTTAAGCTAAAAACAATGCTGAGGGTTTAATTTTACTTGTAACACTTGCACATAAAGTAGATGTAATGGACACTCTGTGGGTGGGTGCCAGAAGCAACATTTCAAGGTGGTCAACCATTGGATGCAAAACTAGGCTTCTCCTTGTTGGAGAACTGGATTTTATCATCAGGATGTCTTGTAGCTATGTGGTCTGGGAGATATGGCTGCCCCCTAAACTTTCCCTTTTCTTATCCCAAAATATATACACCTATGCTGAACAGAAACTCTTTTATATTTCTTTTTTTCATGTTTGCTGCTGTAAAAATATATTTTATGTTCAAATTTTTTTTTGATTAATAAAGAGGACTTTGTTTGAAGTCATTGGTTTATACATTATGATATAGCGGGAAGAGAAGAGTAGTTCAGGCAATCTGTATGCAGGTTAAGCTGTACCAACACTAGCTATATGGCAGATAAGGATTGCATACATTATATGGGCATTGCACTGCAGAGCTTCTAGATGTCATTTTTTAAATCTATTGTTAACATAAAATCTGCTGGGTCTGCGATGGTGTAAATTTCTCTGGGATACAGACACACTGCAAATAGAAGAAATTCGATTAACGAGACGCTTGCGCGCCATGCAGATGTAAGCAGGAAAATAAAATATTTTTTGTTGCAACGCAATAAGCTGCGTGCATGCAGAATTTAATAAATAGATAAACCATCGCATAATCACAAAATTATTACTTTTTTAGTTTTTCATTTTTTCCCCCCGAGCATGCCAATGAATAATCTTCATTTTAGGTAGAGTTCTGGCGATATTGTATCAGGCAGATAAATGAAATTGTGTTTGGGGAAACCATGAAGAAAAAAGCCGTTTATGTATATATCAGACATTATAAGTGACAAAAATGTCAAATGAAGCTAAAAAATGAGTATCTTAAGGGAGAAGAGAGATGTTTAGGAGATTTCTAGATTTAATATTTCAGTACAGTGTGCTTGTGTTACCGGAGGGCAAACTCACCCCTGAATGCACTCAGAAATATATATCTTGTTTTGGGAATGTGGATTCATTATGTGAGTGCAAAATACAACACCCATGGTGACAATGGGAAAGCTGTAAGCCTAGATAGGACAAGCGTTTCTGGCAGATGAAGAAAGTCTACCTATACTTCCCCGATTTACAGCATTCTCTGTAATGCTCAGTCTTGACTGGGATATAAAGAGTAACTCCTATAACTCTTTGACCAACACTCCACCATTACCGTACTCAAGTGCTACTGGCAAAAACTGGCTTTTTTTGATCATAGCAGCCCTTTATTACCAAAATTGCATATATAACATATGCATAGCATACAAAATCAGTCAGTACAGTATGAAAAATGTAAACCCAGTTAGTACGTTTGAATAATGACACCAGTCCAGGGGCAGACTGATAACTCATGGGGCCCCCCGGGCAATAGGGGATCATGGGGCCCCTGTCTCCTTGCCCAAATTCAAAAAAGCCTATGAAAAAGGTACCAGGGGCCCGGGTTTCCAAATGGTCAGTCCACCCCTGACTGCTAAATACCTTTTCTCATCAGTAGTGTATAGCAGTCTTGTGACTTCTATCAGTGTCCAGCTGAGCGCTGGTTTAAGCTTATAGGAGGAGTTTTCATTCCGCTTTGACTGTCCTTTGATGCTACATAACCCCTAACCCTCTCTGGAAAGTGTTGACTGGCCCTGTGCTGATCACATGCACCCTCCCAAAGCAAAAAAAAATCCCTAGCAATACATACTAAACTGAGCATGTGCGCATTGACTCCTAGAACTCTGTACTATCAGCAGATGGATTGGGGACAGTAGAAGAAGGGGAGGATCAGAGAAGACAGGATTAAACAGCCAGGGGCATCTCATGGGGCCCCCTACTGACCCCGGGCCCTCAGGCAGTGCCTGAGTTTCCAAATGGTCAGTCCGCCCCTGCACCAGTCTATTCAGTTTAACCTGTGTGGGTCCTAGTTAGAATTACTTCAAGTACCTGGTTAACTGAAAAGTAGGCCTCCAGCTGCAAAACACCGACATGGAGACAACAACAGTAAAGCCAGATACAATACAAACAGACTAATGGGAGTTGTACCCAAGATAGGTCCTTAGCAAAGTAAATTTTTGTCTATAATAAAGAAAATACAAGGACCCTGTACCCCGCCAGCTGCTAAGACAAATCACACAAAAGGAAACCTGCCAAGAAATAACAACCCACCAAACCTAAACAAGGGGAGAGGGTGGGAAGTTGTCCCAACATAGTCTCTGGAGTGAAGACCTCCCAAGATCCTGCTACAGATAATCCTCTGCCCTAGCTGCTCCTGCCAATACAACAATCTGGCAAGTACCCTTAATCTTAATTACTTTTAACCTACTTAAAAACTACTCCCAAGCCAATTTCCTTTTAACCCTGCCATGTCTTTCCTACATCTAGGCTTCCCTGCTCCTTACTGTGGGCCTAACTTACAGCAAGTTAAAAGGGTAAAGCAACTTAAAGCAGAGTTAAAGTGAAAATAAAAAAAAAAATAAAAGCCAGCAGCTACAAAAACTGTAGCTACTGACTTTTAAAAAAAATGGACATTTACCTCAATCCTGCGTTCGCCCCCCCGTAGCCGGTGTCGGAATCTTCAGTGTGGGCACCCAGCTGTTACAGCTTGCGACTTTACAGTCAGGCGCTCACTGCGCATGCGTGAGTAGAGCTGCACTTTGTGAATGGTCCAGTAGTCTTCTAGGACCTGTGTCCCAGAAGATTACAGGGAGGGAGTAGAGAGGACAACTTCTGCTTCCAATCGCAGCCAAAGTGGGAGCGAATACCTGTCAATTTTGGGTAAGCGCCCCCCCCCCCCCCCCCGCTCCCCAAAGGTGCCAATCCTTACCGGGGAGCAGGGGACCAGTCCTTAAAGCGGAAGTTCTCCTTGTGGGTGGAGCTCTGCTTTAACCCACAAAATCACACCACCATATGTGGCCACACCCACAAAATCATGCTCCTATTTTTATCAGGCCCTCAAACAATCGGTCATAGACTTTTGGAACAAGAGGAGAACATTCAAGGTATAAAAAAAAAAGTAAATATTTCAATTACTGCATAACTGAAGGCCTGTCTCTTCACTGTTTGTAGTGTGAAAGTAAAATAACCCCTGAATTGGTGTCATTGGCAGTAATAGTCTCCTCCAACAAGCCTATTGAGATCTAATAGCAAATGGTTTCTTTAACAGTTAGAGTCAGATAAGGGAAGCAACTGCTAACTGTAATCTGGAGGCATCTTGACAAACAGATTCAGTTTGCCAAAAAATAAGGTAGCCAGAAAAACACCCACAGAATTCCACATCCCAACTCCAATGGGCAGCTTTGCACAGCATGCAGCATATCTGCCAACCTGAAGGGAAAAAAAAACAGCAGAGGGCACCAAATAAGTGCAGTGCAGTATATAGGAAAATACTTATTAAAATCACAAGTGGCAACTCACGAGATGCATAAGGATAAGAGAATGTAATCCACCCAGTGTGGTTTTCTGTTAAGCCCCAGTGTGTCTTCAGATACCAAAAAGAAGATGGCACTATCAGTAGCTTTTTAGTACACCAGAAACAAAACCATAAATCCTGAAGCCATAGGACCAGAAGTGACGTTACACCTGAGATAGCCGCAGTGTTGGTAGCATGGCTACATGTTTCTGAATGTAACTGTCCTTTTTCAAGCCTCAGCTGGATGGATCTCAAGCACCACATTGGGTGGATTACGTGCTCTTATCCTTATGCATCTTGTGAGTTGCTGCTTGTGATTTTTAATAAAGTCTTTTCCTATATAGTGCACTTAGTTGGTGCCCTCTGCTGTTTCCTGCATATATTGAAGAGATTACTTCAGTCTCATTGAAGAGTTGCCACGGATATCTTTGGACCTATCTATGGACTTTTTAGTATAATCCTACACCCCCACAGCACATTCACAAGGATTATGTTGTTCACTGTGTTCCATCCCGAAGGAAATACACACTTTGAGCTTGAGCAGCGACAGTGACCAATGGAAGAACATGCAGTGTACAGTGACAGTGCTCACACATGGCATTGACACCGCACAAGACCAGTCAAGCAGCCTAAATCCTAAATCCTGCATACTGCTAATCTGTACATAGATGGGGCTGAAAAGTGTCCATCCAGCTGGGATACAAACAATCATTGGCCAGTGCAGAACAGAGCAGCATCAGGATCCACTGGGAGAGTCCAGGATGTCATGACCACCTCAGCTCCCGCTGCCCCAGCCTATTGCCTGAACTTGTCTCCGGTGTCATTTCTATAGAGGATGCCGGATAATCACCCAAACTCATTTTGAGGCTTATAGATATTTGAAATATTGTGGCACCTAAGTGATTAAATGTCAATAAATAAACAATAATATATGTGGCCCGCATTAAGCTAACAGCTGCCCCTAAAGAGTGAAAAACACTTGAACAAATGAATACGTGAATAAGAAGGCACTGCAATAATTGTGTATCAAAGATGAAAACAATTAAATAATAAAGTGAACTCTCAACATCATCTAACAAATGGTGTTCCTAAACAAAATATGGTACATAGTAAACATAATATATTATGGTGACAGTCCCATGAAGATGTAGTCCTGTAGACCAAAAGATATGCTCTTTCACCACGTGCAGACAATAAGTGAATTTCTCACTCACCATAAAAAATTTACCCCAGTAAAGGTGGTCAAATAACACTTTATTATCATAAATATTGACAACCAGCAACAGGCTCTCCTGGATCAGACCTCCCGGTCTCCTAAGAGATATGGATCCAGAGAATCAAAGATAGCTGCCCCCAACTGGATGATCACAAGACTCTGGGTACCCCAATAGTAGATGGATTCACAATCTCAGGCTCTCCTCAAAATAAAGGTGATGCTCCAAGCAGCTCAAATAAACCACATAAGTTAAAAATGCTCTAAGTGTAGTATTTATTGAAAATGGCATAACAAGTAGATGTATATCGATGCACTCACATGTAATGGTGCCCAAAGAACCAGCACCAGTTTATGCAGCCTGTGTTTGTATGTCTTCCAATAGTATGGCCGGCATGCATTCCAAGCCTCACATTCGATAGGCCGGATGTGGCGTCACGGGAACCCGGAAATGACAGGATCACACTTCTATGTACGATTCACCTGACGGCATCCTTAGGAAGTGACATACCGTCATTACCGGGCAGATTAAACAGAAGCAAAGTCAAGTTGATTGGACAGTTCCAAAAACATGGCTAACTGGACAATATTAAAGGCAAAATGATACTGTGTATGTTATGGCTTCATAAACTGCTGGGGTACTCAGAAATTGGGAACCTTTTGAAACATATATGTATACAAAATAGATGAAAACAAATAAAACATGAATCTCTCTTGGAATATATGCACTAAAAATCCATGGTTTACCATGGACAATTGCTTAGACGTATACACCCCAAAAGGCAAATCGAGATCATTTTGGGGCTTGTCATTGCCTTGTGGGCCAGTGAGAGAGAGGAACCAATATCGGAAAAGGCAAAGCACCAGCTGTAGTTGGCCCTGGGTGGTACAGGAGCTAAGACTGTAGTTTAGAGCCTGGTGCTCAAATGCAAGGAGCATTCAAGCACCTTGCACACTGCTACCACACAGCATAAATGGCTGCCACCAGGGATATTGCCAGGAATGTTTGTTTTCTGGGGACAGACGCTTCAAAATGGGACTATCGCTGCAAACAGAAACAAATGGCAACTGTACTCTAAACACATAGTTGAAATACATACATGTATACTGTAAACCTGTCAAAGTTTTGGTAATTCCTTGCAGCCAGTCTTGTGATTTACACATAGCCATACAAGTGATGTACGTACAGTTCCTGAATAATCAGTTCATCTTCCTGTTTCATCTATTTGGCTAGCTTTGTCATCTCAAGCCCCTTCACTGGAAAGCAAATAAGCACCTTTACCTTTGTTCAGTAAGCAAGGAGCAGACCTAGGAAGCAGCATGGTGACCTTACTGACTAACAGTGGTGTGTATCACAAGAATGGCTGGCCAAAATTACAAAAATCTATTGGCAGGTAAAACAGTGAAACTATATGTATTTCACCCATATTTTATCTGTTTTACTGGAGTTTCTCTTTACGCTCTCTAGAGATGGCTAAACTTTGAGCAGGTGTGTCTAAAAGATACTATTAGTGTATGGTACTAATAGTGTGATTTATTTTTGTTGCTCATAAAAGCAAATGGTCTCTGTTTTATAAAAGTTCTTAGTTTAGGAATGAGTGGACCAGGGGCGGACTGACAACTCATGGGGCCCCCGGGCAATAGGGGATCATGGGGCCCCTGTGTCCTTGCCTAAACTCAAAAGAGCCTATGAAAAAGGTACCAGGGGCATCTCATGTGGCCCCCTACTGACCCGGGCCCTCGGGCAGTGCCTTAGTTTCCAAATGGTCAGTCCGCCCCTGGAGTGGACTGTTTTTGAGGGTGCACACCTCTCCTCAGGATTTCCATTTCACTTGTTTCACTACTTGGCTGAACTGGAGCAAACAAATATATATTTGGTGTCTCCGTATGATTGTTGAATAATACAAATAATAGCTGATCTAATATTTGTATTTTTGTTCAAAGTTACTGACTCACTTAAAAACAAAGAAAGAGATGACAGTTCTGGGGAAGGCTCCCTAAAATACAAGTCAGCAATAGCAACTCTAATAACCCTGCCATCAGGAACCAATCAGAATGGTTCCCAAATATGCCATCACTATTTCAGCTATGGCACAGTGATCACACTGGCCCTCCAGAGGATTTACCCCCCTTCCTGACCAGGCCATTTTTTGCGATATGGCACTGCGTTCCTTTAACTGACAATTGCACAATCATGAAACACTGCACCCAAATGAAATTTATGTCCTTTTTTCCCACAAATTGAGCTTTTGTTTTGGTAGTATTTGATCACCACTGTGGTTTTTATTTTTTGCATAATAAACAAAAAAAGACCAATAATTTTGAAAAAAAGCAATATTTTTAACTTTTTGTTATAAAACATATCCAGTAAAAAAAGGTTAACAATCAAGTTTCGTCATAAATTTAGGCTAAAATGTATTCTGCTACATGTCTTTGCTAAAAAAATCCCAATATGTGTAAATTAATTGGTTTACGTGAAAGTGTCTACAAATGGCGGTATATACTGAATTTTTTTTTTATACTAGTAATGGCGGCAATCAGCGACTTATAGCAGGACTGAGGGACTGCGGTAGGCATTCTGACACTAGGGGGGAACTGACTAACTGCCACTGACATCCCCACTGACACCAATACAGTGATCAGTGCTAATAAAAAGCACTGACACTGTGCTAATGGCACTGGGCAGGAAGGGGTTAACATCTGGGGTGATCAAAGGGTTAACTGTGTGCTGTTTTACTATTTTGTCTGTGTGTGCTTTACTGTGTAAGCATGCTGCTTTGTATTGCTCTGCTATGCAGAGCAATGCAAAGCAGCATGCTGGTGCTGACAGGGGAGAGATCTTTATTGTTTACATACAGACCACTCCTGTCATTGTTCTTTGGTGATCGTCAGGTGCTGGCGGGGAATCTTTGGCCAGGATCCGGTGATCGACAGCTGAAAATTCCACTGGCAGCTCGGGTAGGGTGGGGTGCAAACGTGCACACAGCTCCTACCCTGAAATACAAAATCACATACATATACATGATTTTTTGCAGCCCTGCCACTTTGTAGCAGTAGTTCTGCTATAGGGCGGTCGAGAAGCAGTTAAAGGCTTCATTGAAAAATAATTATATCAGTTTGCAGTGACCCCTGCAGCCTGTAGATGGCAGTGTGTTTCTGATCAATACTGTAATTGTCTAATTTTTTTCAACTATAGTATTAAAATAATAAGGAAATGTATATATTTAATGTTTTTTTGGCCACTTGTCAGCTTATACTGTGTTAAAAAAAAAGAGCAGGTTTTTTACACTGGCAAAATTCCAAATGAAATCCTATGAAATGTAAACATTATTTAGAGTAATAGATTAGTCATAAAGTTATAGTCAAGTTAACTCACTCATTCTGACGCTGCTAAATTTTGCTTGGAAGAATGAATCTACCTTGTCATATTCCCTTTAAGACACTAGCTTTTCCAACAAAAGTTTGAGAGCAAAGTTCTATTGACTCTAAACCAAGGCAAATGAATTTCCAGCTTCAGTTAAGGTACATCGGTCCCAAAAGAGCTTGAGACAAGATGTGATCCTGCAGCCAAATTTCCACCTCATTCTAGAGCAAGCTTTATCAGTGTGCTTTCCAGCTCTTGTGAGAAGATTGCTGACTGGCTTCAACTCGGGAAGGCCACATTGTTGTGCACTGTAGACAGTTCATCTTGGTTTGAGAATGAAAGAAAAAAGTATATAAACATTTTTTTCTGTAACACACGGCAGCTTCCATCAAGCAGTTAATAGGTTGGCTTAGAGCTCTTTATCACATACAGGTCAATGGTACCTTGTTCTCGCATAATGCCTGTATTCCTTTTATCTCTTAGATCTTTGTTCCCGCTAATTATCCTCCTGATGCAGGCACTTCAGGCTTGAACTTAGCAAACAGTAGAAGGAACATCGCTGAAGGAATAGTATTATGCTGAGCATTGTCAGGTTTGTATACTCTGTTATTTTAGGGTGGAACTATATGAAAGACAAAATATAGAACAGGAATATACAGTTTACCCAGGGCTTTTTTCAGTGGAAACACGGCAGAACGCTGTTCCGGCACCTCCAGCACTGAATTTATGTAATGACAAGGGGTGTGGGGTGTGCTGGAGGATCTATTGATGCTGGCTGATGGAGGATGTATTGTCACTGTTGGGGATCTGTTTTTGTGTGAGGGTCGATTGTTGCTGGTGGGGGTCTTGTGTTGCTGGTAGGGATCTACTGTTGAATGAGAGGTTGCTGTCTGCTGGGAGATCTGTTGTTGCTGCTGGGGGGTATAATGCTGCTGGGGTAGATCTTTTGTTGCTGGGGTGAAGTTTTGTTGTTGTGTGGGGCATATATTTTTGCTGGTGTGGGGTCTATTGTTGCTGCAGAGGATTTATTGTTGCTGCAGTGAGGTCTATTGTTGAGGACACCTATTGTTTCTGGGGTGGGGTCCATTGTTTCTGGGGTGGGGTCTGTTGTTGCTGGCTGCAGGAGATCTATTTTACTGCTTTTCTTGTTATCATTACCAAATTCCATACAAATTATTTAGCATCACAAAATTATACTTAGTTTTGTGTTCTTTGAAAGGGGCAGGACTGGGAGGTGGGTAGGGGGTGGAACCAAGGGATGGTGCTTAAAAGAGGGTAGGGGGGCGGACACAAGGGGGACTCAGAAAGGGGGAGTTCCTGCACCTATTCTCTGAGAAAAAAAGCCTTGGTTTTACCAATGTACATACTCCACTATCATTATAGTCCTAAAGGAGAGCTTTATAATTTGTGTTTATTTGACCATAGCACAGTACTTTCCCCTGCCACTCAAAAAGAAAAAAAAATCCCTTGGGGTTGATTTACTAAAGGCAAATAGACTGTGCACTCTGCAAGGGCATTTGCTCCAGAGCTTAGTAAATGAGGTGAAATAATGCCCAATCGCATGCAAGGAAAATGAAACAAAATAAATTTTCCTTTGCATGTGATTGGATGATGGAAGTCAGGAGAGCTTCCTCTTCTTTACTAAGCTCTGGAGCGACTGCACTTGTAAAGTGCACAGTCTATTTGCCTTTAGTAAATCCACCCCCTTATGTAAACTCCAAATTGTTGCTCTGCTTGCATGGTGCTCGCCACTCACTATCCCCACCCTCGTGTGACAGTACAGGAGTGCCTAAGTGGGCAATCACCAAGCACTAACCTTGTCACACACTGCAGTATATCTGGAAGTACATGGAATTGCTGTTAGCTCCCGGGGGCCAAAGAGATTAGCGAGAGAGTAAATAGAAGGTGAGTACATGCAACTGGGAAGCACAGCAGTTAAGGGAACCTTTTGCTTTGCCTTGAATGTACACTCATTTTCAGTAGCTCGATGCCTATTAACATGATCCTTTCAGGGCAAAGTAACAGGTTTGCTTTAATTCCCCTATACCCATTAGCAGATGCTTATGCTTCCATTTCTCTCCATTCAATGATGAGAGCTGAAAGACATACCAGGCACTTCTAGATATGCAAGGACTATGTGACTGACTCCATGGGACAGCACTGTAAAAATCAGCACTAGCACATGAGGAGTCTAAAGCCTTGTGTAAGCTATGACTCCAGTCAGTGGCTGAACTACCATGGTTGCAAAGGTCATGAGGGGCCCCACAATGAGAGTAAAGGGTCCAGGATAAGTGAGAAGGGCCCTGAGCCCAGAGGGATGGGCCGAGGGGGACCTTCATGGTTTCTTGCACCAGGGCCCTAAAGGGTCTTGTTACACCTCTGACTCCAGAGTTGTCCTGGTGACAAGACATGGGGAAAACTCAGGCTCACTTTAAAGTCTACTCTATCTTCATCAAAAAGTGCTACTTTAGTAAGCAGAATCATGCTAGTTCTCAGCTATTTATGAAGAAACTCTAGCAACAAAAACTGAGATATACCTTCCAGAACTTTTTAGCTCCACTCCCACAGCCAAATCAAAAGTGAACTATGTTTTAAATAATTGCTTCTGTGCATTTTAAAATAAGCAAATCATTGGAAAATCCATCTGTAACATTCTCATGGCCTCACTGGAGTCTCCAAGAGGTAAAAGAAGCTTGTTTGTTATTCAAGCCGCATGTGCCCAATCTAGACTGGAATATCGGTTTTTGCATGGAGCTGGCCTTAAAAGCAAACTTAGAGTCCCATATTTACCTAGTACAGTGCTCTCAGCACACAGCAGGCTTTTTCAGTTCTTACTTTCGGCCACAGAGGCTGCATGTCACAGTAGCAATGGATCAATAGTGAGGCTTAGAGTGAAACTAAATGATATCCTTATTCTCAAAACATAATCCATGCACATGTCATGAAATTGTCACTGTTTTTTTGCCTCACTTTTTTTATTACCTCCATAAGCTCCCAAACCTTTCTTTTTCCACTCACTTCCATTTGTTTAGAGTGAGTAGTGTGCATTAATTGCAGTCACATGCACTGCTCTCTGCATACTACATATCCCATAGTCAATGATCTATCTCAGGAGTGAGCAGGAGAAGATGACTACGTTCCTACAAAAAGTGGGACCATGGAGAAGAAACGTAGCCACCCTCTAACAGGAAGTCATAGCCACCCTCTAACGCCATGTTTTAGTGAACATTAAACACTTGCTGGCCAGCAGTAGTACATTTACTGTTGGCCGGCAGCATGAGCAGGCACAGCAACAGATCACAGTGCTTGGTACCTGGCTGCTCTGAGCAGCCGGGGTATCATGAGATTGTTATGACCAATCATAATGATAACATGTAACATGTTTCTGGTAGGGGATTTATTGTTGCTGGGGGGGGG